CGCAGAAAGTTTCGGTTGTGGTTAGACGAAACCTCCTTACCAAAGCAAGTTACAAGTCTGTTTCACAGCGCATACATCAGCACATGGTGCTTTCACACTGATAGAATGTCAGCTATGTAACAGACCCGCAGCTCTAAACAAAAAAAAAACTGTGATTTCTGAGTTACTACTGTACAATGTTTATTTACCTTTGGTGGCATAGGCCTCTGCGATCATGGAGAGTCTGTACACTGGAGCTCCCACCAGCTGCATCTCATCCAGATTCACACGGCCGTACTGATTCAGCGCTTCCCTGTAATCAGCCTCCACATAGCACAGCTTAGCCATGATCAGACTGGCCTCCTGCATGTATTCAGGCTGGGAGAGAAAGACAAATGCACACACCGCCACAATATAGTACACTCAGTCACTGAAAAAAAAAAATGATATGAACAGATCATGACAACATATGTTTTTACATTACTTTAACTTTAGTTTAAAATAACAAGATAACAAGTTCAAAATAACAATTTATTAGTTATATAATAACCTATTTTTTCAAATTCAGTTGAATATCATTTAAGTAAGGAATAATTGACGACAGGCCATTGAATTATTAGAAAAATAATGCACACCCGAGGTGGTAATGCGGTCACGACGCGAAGCGGAGTGGCCGTTACACGGTCACCTCGGGTGTGCATTATTTTTCTAATAATTCAACGGCCTGAAGTCAATTATTCCGCTTATACTACAGTTACCACACCTCGAAACATTGTTCAGATGATGCATTTCAAGACGTTTGTCAAGTTTTTGTCATTAAAACGCTCTTGTATGTAGGACTAATTTCTTACGCATCTAATCCCATGCCTCCGTTGCTAATTCCAAAACGTCATTTTAGAGTTAGTAAAGGAGGTTTGAGCCACTGATAGCAGACTAATGATAAGGGACACACTTACGACGCTGAAACATTCGAAGACTGGCTGTTTCCATCGACTGTAGTAGCAGGTCTTAAACACAGACTGAACGCGCTGACACGGGTTTGGGCATGATCTGTCATATTGTCATAAGTATCAAATTACATTCATAACTGGCCTTAGAGTAAGTGTGTCCCCGGCTTTATGCGGTTATTAATGCAGTTATTAGAGAGAGCGAGAGAGAGAGAGAGAGAGAGAGAGAGAGATGTTGCAATAATGAGACAGAAAAGCATATGCGTCAATATTATTATTTATTTATTTATTCAATTCGTTTTAATTCATTCGTTCATTCTCGTTTTCTATTATTGACAGTAGATAACCCAGTAAATGAAACACACAAAGCCCTTTTAACAAGTAGGCCTGTCAATAATTATGTATTTGTTATATTATCTGGAATAATTACGAAAACCCGTGGGACTATCAATTTATTTTAGATATTCAGTTTAATTTTATATTCATTATAGATAGGACTATATACTTTATTTATTTATTAAAATTACACTGCATGTGTCCATTGATTGTGAAGTTATACATCGAAAATTGCAGATCAAGTGCATGGGGCTGCATGTTTTTTCTTGTTATGAATTGTATGCTATTTTCCGTTATTACGGTTAACTACGCGCAGTGATATGGAACTGTAATGCGGTCAAACCTGCCTGGAACTACTTTAGCCGTGCGTTTCCCTGAAAATAATTGCACTGGTTGAGAACGTTCTCAACCAATCAGAATCAAGCATTCAACATCCCTGTAGTATAAGTTGAAATGAATTATACAGCCAAGTTGATTGTACTTAATTTATAGCAGCGGCAGCGGGTTTTTATTTTTTTACAGTGAAATCAAATATAGCTCCACAATCACCTCACATTTTTAGATACAGAAGAAGAATATATTAAATACATTGAAATACATTCAATAAATAAAAAATTCACTTTGATTTTTGTCATTTCCGTTTTCATTTGAATTAAAGTTTTAGTCATTTTATTGTGTTGTAATTTTTATTAGTTTTTGATTTTATTTAACTACATCTATATACAGTAGTCAACATTTGAAGTGGATCAAAACCTTTCATCAAAGTTATACATGAATTTTGAACAATACCCGTTCTTGTCTTAGGACAACTTTGATGAACTTTTCTGATCCACTTCAAAATGTTGACTACTGTAGTTTTTATATTTCAGTTTTAGTTATTTTAGTACATCACTAAATAAAAAATACTTTAGCTAACTACCTGAAATATATTTATTTTAGTTATTGTCCTGACTGTTCAGGCTTACCTTTAAGTTCCCCCGATCAAGAGCAGCCGTCAAGTGTTTCCGCACCTCCTGGAGGCGGGGCCGGGGCCCGCGGGGACTGGTTCCCTGCTTAATGGGGTTTTCCTTGAGGTACTGCTGGAGTTTGGCCTCCCCCAGCAGAAGTTCCCCGAGATCATCTACAAGAGAGGCAGAGGTTCAGTCCTGCACCCGAATTCACTCAAATAAGCACAAAGCGGAAGGCCAACAGTCGCTTGGCTGTTTCCTTATAAAGGTCCAGAAAATTAAAGTTTTTTATTAGGTGTGTGATATTCTTTTTTAATATATGATGTCATTACGTTGCTCTCTTGACACCAGCCAATCGCTGCATTGGTGATCATGGTTTCGAGTATCGATATATCTGCCCTTTCCAATGAACACAGGAATGCACAGTAATCTCAGACAGCTTAATCCAGATATTTTAATCAAATTCGTTTGAAAAAAACAGTTATCACGATTAGAAGATCTGGCATCTGTTAAATCATCTTAGATGTATTAAGCGAAGTATGAAGAACAGACCTCAGGACTATACTGAGGAAATTTGTCACATGACATTGTCAGAACTTTATAGGCTATTTTATCATAATGACTGTCAGCGAGCTCAAGCATGGAAGAAATTTTATTTTTGGGTGAACTATACCTTTCTCTTCTGACTGAAACAGTAACCGTGGAGATGCACTACATCTACACCTGCACTATATCTACACAGTCAGGTCAAAAAACAAACACTGATTGTGAAAATAGAATTACATAAAGCCCAGATATAATCCAGTCTTGGACCTGACCACATTCTTACAAGGCTCTGAGGACAATCACATGTGCTTTAATCTGCTGCTTTAATAATTAATAATTTAATAATAATGCTTGTGTAATAATGTTTATAAATATGTACCTTTTAATGAACAGGGCTAAATGTAGAGATGGCAACAGGCAATTTTAACCCACAATAGTATGAATGTAGATTCATTATATATATTAAATCAACCTTTAGGACAGAATCCATTAATTTATAAATTTTACCCAGTCAAAAACATCTTACAGATGTTCACAAACTATATTGTAAAATTTTATTTTTGTGAAACCTTCCCTTAAACAATCCCTCACTTATTTTAGTTTTGACAATATTTAAACATAATGCAAATAAAATAATTATGTTTTATATATATATTTTACAGTATTATACTAACTGTATTTCAATAATGATGGAACTTAAATGACTATGAATTATTACTTACAAGTTACAACTATTCCAAAAAAAAAAAAAAATGTCTTTGTAAACTTTTAAGCCCCTTTTCAAGTTTTTTTTAAAGAATCAAAACATTAAAGATTAATATAAGAATCTGTCAACACAAAAAGCATTCAACACTTTTAAAAGTCTCTACTTTTAACTGATCTCTGGTGATATTTGTGTACTGCCCTATTCTATTCATTATCATTTGTATTTATTACTTTGTACTTCTCTTTCTCTGAGTGTGAGTTAACGAGATTTAGGTTTGAAAATGCAACATTGAACTATCTGTTTACCAAATAACTGAATCTGTGTTTTCAGTTAATGCAAAAGAGACTCCTATAATTTGACATTACACCTTCACAAGATAATAAGCCAAATAATGACTCTTCATAACTTCATAGACTTGATCAAATATGAATTATAGAAATTTTGAAGATGAATGGACACAACTGTGTGAGCAATCAGGAAGTGTACGTTACTGGACAGATGTGAGGAACACTACCAAAAGGGCAACAATAATATCATATTTTAGACACCCTGAAATCAAAGTATTAATTCAAAGAACCGTTAAATGTGTAGTTAAATGAACGGGAATAAATCAGACACGGATTCTGTCATCAGGCCTGAGGCACACACTGTCAGAGCTAACGCGTTAGCCGTGAGAATATGTACATAAACCACACACACCGTTTGAGATGAGTTTCGCAGACAGCTGTCGCACGAGTTCTGGTATCTTGTCCCATTGTGCCTCAGATCGACAGCGCTCTATTTCAGACTCTAAACGCGACCCGGACTTTCTGGCTGTCATCTTTCTACCTCCTCCTAGTACTGACCAAAACACGACCGGGGAGCCGGAGCACAGAAACATCAAAGACATGGAGAGGATTTTAAAAACATGAACCGGATTACTCTTCCGGGCCATGGTACTGAACTCCAATTGGACAGACTTCTAACATGTGACTATTTTTGACGCTATTTTTGTTTCTCATGTGAAGGTATGACTCTATTTTAATTTATTTTCTTTTTCTTGATTGAATAATGATGTCCAAGAATCGTGTGCTCTGTATTCTCTAGTCTAGACTATACCAATAAACCAATGACAAAATTAAACGTAAACCAATACTACATATGCAAATAAATAAATAAATAAACACATTAATTAATTAATGAAAACAAATTATACCATAAATTCAATTTAAGGGGGAAACACTGTCAGGACTGGATGATTTAAAAAAAAAAAAAAAAATCAGTGCTCCTCTACATTCTTTTGTCTTTTTCTTGTCATATAATACAATTATTTAAACTCAAATAAAAATTAATTAATTTGATTTATTATTACTTATTACTTATGTGTGTCTGTCGAGTTTTATGACTACACGGAACTGAACAGCTCTGTCCCTCTCTTAAACATGATTGCATGAAGATGCCCTTCCAGGTTTTTGTAGTTCATCAGCCAGCAGAGCGCGTTGCACTGAAGCCTCCAGTGCTGTAGGTGGCGGTGCCAAAAACTCACCACTGACATTCAGCAGCAAGTGTGTCTGCGGCATGTTGGCCTCGGATTTGGAGAGAAGATCGTGTAAGTAATTATTAAACGTCTTAATCATTATTGTTGTTGTAAGTAGTGGACTGGTTGTAATATCTAGGTATTTAGATTTATAAGCACAATCTGTTTTCGTCGTTGTTGTACGAACGGTAGTGTTTCTTAATCGCGTACAACATGCATGCAAGTCTATGATGTGATGCAAGAAACATTAAAATGGGTTATTGAGAGTGTTTACATATCTATCTAAGATGGACATATGGCTGTAAATTATACTTTTTTTGGCGTTGCTCTTTTCTATTTGAAATGCTGTTGATTTGATTTCAATGGCATTTTAAGTCAAGGTCAAATTGGTCTGTTTAGACTTGGAGTTCAGGAGTAAATTTACATCAGAGACTGTTAGCACTTTTTAGTTATTAAATACATGTATTGTTTACGAGTTTAAATACATGATCATAAATTATTTAGATCATATCTGCTGTTTATTATCTCAAAATTCAAGTCTCAATATTCTCAAAGAATGTATACATACAGACAGTAGGCTACAATCATGCATTGTTTACATGTATATGTCACTTTAATACAGTTAAAAAAAATGTTGCTTGATCTTTTATAATAAATAATTATTTTTACTCATATCAGCATATTTATGTGTAAATTTATAATGTTTTGATCTGAACTGCTTGGTGATATTTTACACAGATTCACACTTGTAACCTGTTACTGGCTGCAGGATGTTCTTGACTCTGGCACTTTTGCGAAAGGGGATCCCAGGAAAGCAGTGGATCGGGAAGTACCGTCGACCACGAGTAGTCACCTGGCAGATGAAGCGGAATATGATTAAACGCCTGGAACAGGAAGCAGAGAATGAATACTGGATCAGCCGGCCATTCATGACGCTGGAACAGGAGCGAGGCCATGCAGCGCAGAGGCGGGAGTGGATGTGGCTTCAAATCAAAGATGCACGACAAGCCAAGTTTCCTGAACACAAATACATTGCAGACCAACTCAACCACCTGAAAATCACCAAGACCTGGTCCAGCTAACCAGAACATCAAAGACTGATGGATCTCAGAGTTTGCAGAGAAAGATGTAAATGAAATAATAAAAATCATTGTTTGATTTGATAAATTCTGCATTGTACACCTGGCTGTATGTGATGTGTGTTATGTTTATAAATGATTTCTTTTCTAATCATTACATCTGGTTCTTCTCCTTATTTCTTATTCAAGTAGTCTCAAGTAGACCCAAAAATGAAAATTCTGTCATCATTTACTCACCCTCAAGTTGTTCCAAACCTGTATCAATTTATTTCTTCTGTGCTGAAGAAGATAATTTGAAGAATGTCTGTTACCAAATAGTTGATGGACCCCATTGACTTCCATAGTATTTTTCCCCATACAGAAATAATTTTCATTTTTGCATTATCCCTTTAACTGTAATGTGCTACAACTAAATTATATTGTAACATGGAAAATTAAATCCAAGTGACTTCTAAACTAAATGTGTCAAAAGTAACGGCAGTAATGAAAAACAAGTGGTCACCCTTTCGATTATTCTTTTGAATCAGATATTAATTTATTACATATTATTTGTCCCATGAACAAGCCACAGAGAGCTAGGGTAGATGTCAAGATTACTGATTGATGACTTAAATGTCTATGAAATGGATAGTTCTGGTCCTTGATTATGATTGGCTGTGTAAAATGTATTAACTATTATTTGTTAGCAATAATTTATTATTATTGCTGTTTGTGTATTTTATTTCATTCTGCCAGGCACATGTAGTAAACATTTTATAAAAGCAAAAGTGATTTTATCATTGTTCATGATAGTAACCTTATACTCCTATGCACTAGAGAGCAGTGTACACGTCATGCTAGCGCAAACCACGTTGAAAACTACACTTCCCATTAAACATTGAGCTCGAGCACCTTGGTCTCCATGACAGTCTTGTTATTGTTGTTTAGTAGATAATCATGGATGGATGAAGAATACAACTGCTTTTCTTTCCAATAAACCCTTCCTAATAAATCAGTCAACGATATGGTGGAATAATCAAATTTCCGTTTCATGTTCTCGGACTCTTTTCTCTCATTCACACAAGGGTTTGCTAGGTCAGGTTCGGCCCAGCTCAGTGCTGGATACTACACGTTTTCTCACAGCTCTGTTGTGATCCGGTCTGTGTGGTTCCTGTTTGTGAAGAATGAGAGAGCAGCGGTGGTGCAGCAGCAGCGGTCGGGTCCGGACACAGGAGGCTCGGAGTCGGATCACAGGATTGATGGAGGAGATGCGTCTGTAACAGCATCAGGAGGATGATTTCACGATACAGCCGTCGGCCTGTATCTCACAGCCTAGAGATGTGCGTATAAATCACACAAACGATCTCAAGCTGCCTATTTAGACAGCATTTTGATATCTTAGTCGCTGTCGCATAGATAGCCAGCTAACTAGGTTATGTGGACTGGCGTTTAAATACATCTGCTTGATTTCTTAAGTAAGGTGTGTAAATACTCAAGAAATACTTAAAAAAGCCTCCATTTTTCCCCCTAGATTTATGTATAGAAAGATTTTTTGGATGGATAGATTGCTAGATCTTTTAATAGATAGATGGGTAGATAGTCCGATAGAAAGATCTTTGGATTGATCCATAGATGGATGGATGGATGGATGGATAGATGGATAGATCTTTGGATTGATGCTTAGATGGATGGACAGACAGAAAGATAATCCAACCGACCGATCGACAGACAGATATAAAGATAGACAGACAGATTAGATAGACAGACAGATTGATTGATTGATAATCAAGCTGGCCTGTCATCATCTAGTAAATGCTTTTCCTCTGTCTCTCTGCTGGTTTTGGTAGTCGCGGTTTGTCCCGCAGCTGCCCGGACCAGCATCCTCTTCCAGAGGAGGCAGATGATGATACTGGGCATCCTCCCAGACTTCTGCATGATCTACAGGAGGACATGTCCTCATACAGCAGGTGAGTGGCATGTTGAATGTGTGTCTGTACAGGTATATATTAAAGGCATAGGCTTTCATCAATGTGTATATTGTTAGATAATGTTTATTCTTGTCTATAATATTCACTCCTTCCAATCTGACATTTGAATTTATGAAATAATGACACTCTTTCTCTCTTTCTAGGTCTGAGGAGTCCTCTGCATCATCCATCAGATCAGGATGTCAGACACTCACCACAGATGACACAGCGCAGTCTTGGTCTGGTATCCATAGTTACACAGGAACTGGCATCTCTACAGAACGCAGCTCTGTCTTCTCGTGGGGCTACGATGTGAGTCGTAGAATGATGACTGATTAGTGTGATTATTCTTGAATTCTACACCAGATGCATTCTTGTTTTTAACTTTACAGCATCTTCAAAACTGGGTGCTCAAGTTCATGTCTTTTTCCCTTCTCCCCATTTCTTTTTCTCTTCTCCGGTAGGAATTTGATAAAGCCGCTTCCAGGCAGGTCCAGCAGATGTTTGAAGAGATTGAAGAACAGTTGTATGAGAGGAAGTGTGAAACTCAGCTCAAAGGCCTGCAGGAAGAGTGTCAAGAGTGGGCTTCACGATTCCCTCACCTCCGGTTCGCACACGTATACATGCACACACTCAGATCTGTGGACATCAGTAATGCCTTAGCAGTCTCTGGTTGGGACTGCATGATTATTCGTATTTTAATCTTGATCACGATTTCTGCTTCTCTCGATTAATCGTCTGCGATAGTGATCCACTGAAAACGTTCTCCGATCTCCACTGTGATACTCTGCTCAAATGAAAGTGCTATACAGCCCGTCCGTGTTCACATCGCAGCTTGTGCTATAGATCAAATCATGAATCCTGACTATATTGTTTGCTTATTGTGGTTGCTGAATAAATCTACTTGCGCAACCTTTTTGCTACAATACAGTCTTTTTTTTGGTGTTTTAATAGATTTAAAAAAAATAATTAATAATACATAATTTAAAATGATTGGAATTAACTGTTTCTTTGCTTTTGATAGAAACTTCTCAAAGTCACCATGAATATACACTACCGTTCAAAAGTTTGGGGTCAGTGAGAATTTTATTTTTATTTTTTGGAGGAAAGAAATCAATACTTTTATTTATCAAGGAATAATTAATTTGATCGAAAGTGACAGTAAAGACATTTATAATGTTACAAAAGTCTTTTGAACTTCCTATTCATCAAAGAATCCTAAAAAAAAAAAAAAAAAAAACTGTACAACTGACAGACCAACAACTGTTTCAACATTGATAATAATAATAAATGTTTCTTGAGCATCAAATCCTCATATTATACTGATTTGTGAAGGATCATTTGACACTGAAGACACTGACACTGGTGATGCTGAAAATTCAGCTTTGATCACAGGAATAAATTACACTTTACTATATATTCACACAGAAAACAGCTGATTTACACTGGAATAATATTTAATATTATAACTGATTTTTGTTGTATTTTTAATCAAATAAGCGCAGCCATGGTTAGCAGAAGAGAATTCTTTTAAAAGTATTTAAAATCGTACCGACCCCAAACTTTTGAACGGTAGTGTACATCTCAATAGGGAAGAAATGACGATCGCAACTTTAGTTTCATTACCGGTTCATAATGTAGTGAGTGTGTTAATGTATATGATAAACTAGAAAACTAGATAAGGTAAAATTAAACCTTGATGTGTTTATGGGGGCCATATGTAGAATTTCAGAAACTCTTGTTATTAGCGACACTGGTGGCTTTTACATGAACTTCAGCCAGCAACTGAACGTGATTCAATGCCCCGATATACTCATGGCGAAGTTCTTTTTCATTCTTTGCTTTGAAGTAAAAAGAGGTAGGAAATACCTTGGCGTCGGTAAACTGTTAGTGCACATCCATACACCGTCCACGCTGCTGAGAGCGACATTTTGATGAATATGTAAATATGTGCTGCCTGCTTTTCTCTCAATAACAAGAAAAAACAAGATGACAGATGAAATCAGTCTACAGCCTTTCATAGACAACCTAGGAAGTCGGGGAAGGTCTTGTTTTTTAAGTTTCGTTACAAGCTGTTCACACTATAACAAAAGTGATTAGTACATGAAAAATACTTGGATATATCCCTTTTAAGTGAGAGTGCAATAATTCTGATGAAATGTAAAAAGAAATTTCTCAAATGAGAACAATCATGATTAATAATTGAGTGATTATCAGTTTAACCATAATCGTGCAGCCCCTATGCCTGGTTGTTAAACCTGTTTGGGGCATTTGTGTGTGACAGGATCCTCGGAACGCAGCTGGTGTGTCCCACAGATGAAGGATTCCAGTGGTACGCCACCCCAGCTCACACTCCCATTATCTCCAAGGCAGGCCAGAGCAAAGAGATAACCGCCAATGAGTGAGTTCAGTTTGTTGATGTGTGCGTATGAAATTATGTGTTCTGTAAAGTCTCATTTTCATGGCATTGTGTGCGTGTGGCAGGTTGTGTGTGCAGGGTCGGAGGGCTGTTTTGTGTCAGCCCTCTGTGGAGGTGACCCAGCATGTCACGCCCAGCTGTAACCATGGAGATGAGATGCCCAGGGTGATTGAGGCCGAGGGGCTGATAGAAGAGTATCTCGCCTTCGACTGCAGGGACCTGTGAGTGTGTGTGTGTGTGCTTGTATGCTTGTGTGTGACAGATGGGAGTTTATTTTAGCATAATTTATCTGATATTTTGGCAGAGATTTTTGTAGATAATAGTGTTTATCTAGGGATGAGGAATGGGAACGCGATTATGTGAACAGACGGCGAAGGCGCTGCCTGCCCCCTGTCTCGCCCTATCGCTGTCGTCGGGAGGCGGTGCTTGGTCTGCTGTTTGATGATGTGTGGCGTGAGCTCATTGGCTGGATGGAGGAGCTTGTACGTAGGCATTGGGAGGGTTTTGTGTCAGGTAGGATGATTTTTCAAATACTTGTCTAAATGTGATTTGCTGTGTTTTTTTTTTTTACTCTATCGTTAAAAAATGTAGGGTGGTCCTTACGATTTTTTTTAAATATATATATTTTTTAAAGAAGTTTCTTAAGGCCCCGATATACTTCAAGCGAAATCAAAGAATGAACTGGTCTGAACAAAACTTTTATATAAAAAAAAACTTTTATACAAATCTTTATAATAGAAATGAAGTGTAATTCTAATTGAAAGCAACACAGACACTGTTTTTTCATGTTTACTACTGTAAAGCTGTTTGGTTTAAAGCAATCTATTGTATAAAGTGCTATATAAATAAACATGACTTTACTTTACTGGAGTACCGAATTGCAGAGCTTGTGAAAACATCCACATCGCTATGATCAGATGCTTTCTTAACTGCTGTTTTCTCACTGCTGTTATTTTTTAATGTTTATTTGTTATTGTGAGGAAAGCGCGCAGCACATGTTTACATCTAAATGCCACTCTCAGCAGTGTGGGCGATGTTGGGATGTTCATTAACAGTATACCTCTACCTACATCTATTTCCAACTTCTTTTTACCCCTAAACAAAGAATGAAAAAGAATATCGTCCTGAGTATAATGGGGCCTTTGTTAACCAAGGCTGCATTTATTTGATCAAAGATTCAGTAAAACAATAATACTATGAAATATTACAATGTAAAATTATTTTTCTACTTAAATATATTTTAAAATGTAATATATTCCTGTGATAGCAAAGCTGAATTTTCATCATCATTACTCCAGTCTTCAGTGTCACATGATTCTTCAAAAATCATTCTAATATGCTGATTTGGTGCTCAAGAAACAATTCTTATGATTACAATGTTAAAAGCAATGCTGCTTTATATTTTTGTAGAAACTATGATAGATTGTTTTCAGGATTCTTTGATGAATGGAAAAGTTCAAAACAACAGTGTTTATTTGAAATATAAATCTTTTGTAAACATACAAAAGTCTTTACTTACACTTTTAATGCATCCATTAATTTCGTAAAAAAAAAAATTGTTTTACTGACCCCAAACTTGTGTATTGTAGTGTGCATGACCTGGGGCCTCATTTATAAAACTGTGCGTAGGATCCTTACTAAAAGTGTACGTGCCCCCGAAAGCCAAAAATGTCGTACGTAAAAAAATATTCAGACTTTTAAAACCGTGCGTACGCCAGAACCTGCACAGAATTCACTTTATAAATCCCAGTCAGCGTAAGATTGTGCGCACATGCGTCTAAAATAACCGAAATAACCATATAATATGGAGCTTACAACGCCTAGTTTTACTATGCATATCCTCATCTGCATATCATTTGCATTTGATTATTCATTCACGTGATAACATGTTTAACGGTACCAGACATTAGGAAAATATGAAATACGGCTGTGCCGTCACATTTCATTAATAAAAATTATTTAGGAGCCTATCCTTGCCTTGTTTTTGAATAAATAAATCAAATAGTGTACATTTCAGAGAAAGTTTTTATTTTTAATTGATTTATATTTTTAATGGAAACAGATTGTCATTTTCTCTGACAATCTGCTATTATCATGATAAGCAATTATCTCTGTAGTTAAAACATTAAAACACAGCATGCCACAGGAAAAGTGTTCAAAAGCATTGCATCCACAACAAATATTTATATTTATTGAATATAAAAATGTTGTAACTTCTCAGTAATGATTTCATGTAGTTTAAGTGTTTAACACCACTAATGAGAATGGCATATTTAACCTAAATGTTTATATTTTTCGGTAGTGGCTCAGTGGTTCATGTAGGTTGTCTACAAACCGGAAGGTTGGTGGTTCAATCCCCGGTTCCACCTGACCAAGTGTCGAGGTGTCCATGAGCAAGACACCTAACCCCAGCTGCTCCCGACGAGCTGGATGGCGCCTTGCATGGCTGACACCGCCGTCGGTGTATGAATGAGTGAGTGAATGGGTGAATGTGAGGCAAAATGTAAAGCGCTTTGGTGGCCATTGGGTCTGTGAAAGCGCTATATAAATGCAGTCCATTTACCATTTATATCAGAAGTAAAACATAGTTTAAATCACTCTTTTATTTATTTAAACTGTTATTGTGAACATGCACTGTATTTATGATTAGGACTCATAATGAAGATTTACGATTTACTTCATCTGCCGTTAGATAGGCTAATGCGTCAGTTTTACTAAACGGCCCAACGCGCTCGCTGGCGCGGACATTTAAGAAGGGATGGATCTTTGCTTCAAGTGATAGGTTTGGTGATTAAAATTATATTTGTATTATCTTTCTGTATATGTATCATTTTCTTTAGATTTTCTGTCTAAAAGTGACCAAAAAGACATTTAACTCCAGCTCACCATCGGTGTCGCCAAACTACTCCATCTCCAAAACGTTCGTACGCATGGGTTAGAGTTTGCGCGAAGGTGCGCAAATTTTCCGGTCAAGTTTGTTTTTATAAATCACAATTTATGCGTCGGAAGTGGCGTACGCCTCTTTCAGGGCCTGTTTTGTGCGTACGCAACGGTTATAAATGAGGCCCCTGGACATCAACCAAGGGGTTTATTTCGTAATAATGATCAGCAAGATTGTACATGATACTGTAAATTATATTTCATGCTACACAGCTCACCAAATAAATGAATAAATGTACAGTACATGAAACATTGACTTTTTGTTATGCGAGAGGAGACTTAAAGGTAGGGTAGGTTGTTTTTGGTCTAAAAAACTTTTTCCCAAATTTGTTTAAACTTTCTATATATATCAATGCATAATTAAAATGTAAGTACTCTGATAAAAAGAGTATAAAAATCGAGTGACTCTAGACAGTTTAATCTGCACTAAACACAGCTCATTATTTCCTTCCGGGACGAAACAATGGATTGGCTTAGGCGACTGTCACTCTCTCGCAACCATGGCAACACCCCTGCTGCTACATGCGCTGCCCACATGCGCGCACTCGTTTGACTCGAGGAGGGTAAGAGACTAGTAAGAGACACAATTACATGCAAAACACGGCGTATATGTAATGAATCTTACACGAAATTCACCTTCATCACAGTGTAACTGATTGTAATGGGAAAACGTGTATCAATGCAACCTGTTTTTAGCTTTGCTTTATGTTACTAGCTCGTTAACGAATCAAACTCAATATATTTTAAACTTTACCAGTATCGATATGCTAGCTTGATAGTGAGTACTAACAGCCATGTTAGTTTTTTATATTCATAATGATAAAGTTAGGTATTTTATTACATGTGAGTCTGACATGATGTCACTACATGCACTGCTCCTCTCCGCTGGGCGCTGGTAAGCGCGTCCTCCAGCTGTGAGCTGTCGGCATCGCGCGTTCATGTGTTTTGGGGGCGTGGTTTTGGAAGGAGCCCAGAATGGAGGGGGTGGAAGTGAATGGAGATAAGTAGCTGTGTTTATTACAGCCCTGAGAGGACTACAGACACTCGATTTTTATACTCTCTTTTCCAGAGTACTTACATTTTAATTATGCATTGATATATATAGAAAGTTTAAACAAATTTGGCAAAAAGTTTTTAAAAAAAATCCTACCTACAATACCTTTAAGTGACACAAGTTAAGTGGTTGTCATTATTCTCTACTATTTGAGAGCAAAGTATCGTGTCCAATCAGAATCAAGTATTGAGTCGAGAATTGGTGAAGAATATTTTCTCTTTGAACTTCTCTGTCCATCAGATGATGAGAAGAATGCCGTGGCCCTCAGCCCTGCGTGCCCTGATACCCAGAATCCTTTTTTGCTGCTGTCCAATGTCTCATCAGTGCTTCCTCCACTGTCACAGAGCAGAACACAGCAGCTCACGGCCAGCTTGCAGGCCCAGGTTGGTTAACCGCTTCAGAGATTGTAGAATATATTTAGAGCAAAAGAGCTTTTGGGTTGGTCCTTTTCCTTTTGTGGCAGATGGATGAAACACTGATTTCATCTGAAGTCCTACTGATTTGCAGCCCTTCCATCCCCTGTTATCTGCCTGATGATAGTGTCTGAATATATTTAAATAACAGGATTCTGTAGATATTAGCGTAGATCTTCACTGCTTTGTGTCCTCTGTCTTTACACATTCACATACCCAAAAATACACACAAATGCTGATTTTCACTGCTGTCAGCATTTGTTTTTTTCCCCAGCTTTTTCCCTCTGGCTTGCAATTCATTAACTTTTTACCTCCCTTTTTTCTGTCTTTTCCTCATTGTCTCTGTTTCTACCTTTCTGTCCAATCATCCATCTGTCATCTGTATTCTTCCTTTCTCTTTCTATACCTTTCTATTTCTATCCTTTCCCTCCCTTTTCTTTCCAAAGAGCTCAAAGTCATGGGGTTCAAAGCACAAGTCAAGACGGAAATCCAAAAAGCAGAGAAAGTCATCGACTGTATGTAACTTTACCCTGATAACAACACTTAAACAGAGAGGGCGAGCGAGAGTGTTTCTGTCTGTGTACCGGTTCCCCTCTATTTCTCCTAAACTTCAACGCTCATATTTGTTTTTTTAACAGCCACTGTTTAAACATCCTTATAAAATGTCTGACTTTAATTTAACCTTGTGTTCAATTTGTAATCTTGTGGAGGTGTGTTAATGCTTGTTCCCACTCTCAGTTTTCTTTCTGTTCTGTATGTTTCTTTTCAGTGTCTTTTTGTCTGTTTTACACACGATGCATGCTGTACAGATCATGGATGTCAGATGCTGTTTTTTTTAAACACTGAGATATACATTGTGCACTAAAGGGAAATAAAATTAAAACCTGAACTAGCCTAACTTTTTTTCTTTCCTGCTTCTCTCTCTTTCTCTGTTCCCACAGACCAATCGAGTGCCAGTTGGGGCGGCGGTTGCTCATCACAATTTCAATGACCTCATCATGATACATGGCATTCCACTTCAGCAAAGGAACCTGGGAACTCTGGACCGAATAGCTCAGTATGAACACCACAGAGGAAATAAACACAAACTAATACACTTTACTGTGCATATTTAGCACTGTAGTCTTTAATTCTGTTGATCCACAATAATTGATCCAAAGTAAAGGTCGCTGATGTAGTATTTTGCCTCCCATAGGAAAACATACCAAACAAACAATATACAAGAGTATCAAAAGCTATTCTACGTTGATTAATAAAACAATAAATAAATAAAACCTTTTTAATAATAAAAAAAACACTGAATTGATTGACCTCTAAAAGTGTAACAATGTTTTCAAAGGTTTTCTTAAAACATATGTTTGTGTGTTTTGTACATTTTAAAAGAAATACTCTACTGTTCAAAAGTTTGGGGTTGGTAAGATTTTTTTAAATGTTTTTGAAAGACTCTTATGCTCACCAAGGCTGCATTTATTTGATCAAAAATATGTTAAACCAGTAATATTGTTACAATTTAAAATAATGTTTTCCATTTTAATATATTTTAATAGAAAGTTCAAAAGAACAGCTTTTATTTGAAATAGAAATCTTTTGTAACTTTATAAATATTTTAACTGTCACTTTTGATCAATTTAATGCATCCTTGCCAATTAAAAGCATTCATTTAAAAAAAAGACATTTAGTCTTACTACAACAAAACAGCAATTTTTTTTCAAACTGACAGCTTCTGAGCATTTATTTTATTTTATTTACCAATTCAAGAACCAGCTCCTATTTGCTTGTGTGTTAGACTACAGTGGTTGCATTGAACCAGTGACAACTGAAAGACATGCTGTCTATTCATTGTCTTTGTATTGCTTTGCAGTACTCAGTCTTTTTATTCAAAATGAAAACTCTAGTAGAACTCTTTTTTTTTTTTTTTACACGCTTCCATAGATTAGCTGTGCAGGAAACCCTTCTGTATCTCTATGGCTTCTCTAAATGAATCATACTTTCTTTGATTAATCTTCTTTCTGTCATTCTGACCATAGAGACTCTGAGGAGAAAGTGTCTCATCGTCCCGGGTCTAGTGTCATTCCCACCAGTAAACCTCGGCCCCGTCGTGCACTGGAACAAAGCTCCTCCTCGTTGACTCGCCCCCCTCAGTCGGCACGGCGACGGAACCCACCTCCTCGCACTCTGATGCCATTGACATCCAGTGTAACGCAGGCCATCACAACTGGCTCTATGGAAGAGGTGGTTAGAGGCACAAGATTGTAAGGGCACCTTTTATTTGTGTTATATATCTCTTACTGTACTTACTATACTCTTTTGTTTTCTGAAAAACAAGTTTCTTACAATAGTGTGTGTCTGTACTGTATGTGTTTTAGGACGACCGCCAGCGATCGTTTGGCCTCTCCTCCAATGCCTCTCAGTAGAAACACACTTCTCCCTCCTATTGGCACAGGAGACACAGACCTCACCTACTCTGGACAGCACTCACGGCTTATTCAGGTGCAACCGGACGTTAGTAAAAGTTGTTTAGTTGTTTTACAAGATGAGTCACCAAAATTTTTGGTCTGTTTTTTTTTTCGGGAAGAGAAAAACTTAAAGGAATAGTTCACCCAAGAATGAAAATTCTGTCATCATTTACTCACCCTCAAGTTATTCCAAACCTGTATGTATTTCTGTCTTCTGCTGAACACAATTGACTGTGTTTCTGCTGGCCCCGTTGACTTCCATAGTAATTTTTTTCTGTACTATGGAAGTCAATTGGGTCCATCAACTGTTCTGTTACCCATATTCTTCAAAATATATTATTTTGTGGTCAGCAGAAGGTTTGGAACAACTTGAAGGTGAATAAATGGGTGAACTATTCCTTTAAATGTAAAATGTAAATGTGATGACAGTGTTTACATTTGTGGGTGAACTATACCTTTTAATTGATTAGTAATATGGAAATGATACTCTAAGAAACTGAAACTGCCAGTAGGTGGCGGTAAATGTCTAAATTAGTCATTGAGTCATTCATTCATTTGATTCGTTCAAACGGCTGATTCATTCAGGAATGAAGTAAATGGCTCTCTTTTGAGTGGGCCATTGAATCATTGGTTCACCCAATTGATTCGCTCAAAATGCAGATTCATTCAGAAATTAAACACTGCTGTGAGTTGGCATTATAGGTAATATTTTCATTGACAAAATTGAACAAAAACAGACAATATTGCGTTTAAAATATAACACAATATTTACTTATTTATTTGTTTATTATTTATTTATTATTATTTAACTGTTGTATAAAATCAATATCACATTTACACTTGTGCTAATGCATTAATAATTCTGACTTGTTATTTTGTTTTACCATAACTAATTAATTAAATTAATGCGTTAAATCGACAGCCCTAGTTTTTATATATATATATATATTAGGGCTGCACGATATTGAAGAAAAATGCGATAACTCATTAAATAATGCGATATGCGATACGATAATGCTTAAAGTGTGTAAAATAAACTTAAATTATCTTTAAAATATATTTAAAATTATATAACCTACATACGTGTTTCATATTCTTTTTGTGACAAGAAATCATCCCTACAACTTCTGAAAGTGAACAGCAGTGTTTTACTAGCATAAGAAGTGTTATTTTAACATCAGTGTAAATCACAGGGTTTCAGGAAGGCCTACATTAGGTTTAGTTAACAGCAGAAACTGAATAATCAAATGTAAAAATAAAATACTGCTTAGTTTTCACTGTATGAATTATATATATATATATATATATATAAATATATATCCTGGTTCTTATTAAAGCTACAAAAGTTATTTTATCCAAGTGCAGTGAGTGATTTTCTCTTTATGTTTTGTGCATGACCCCAGTTATTGCAAGCCGTTGCGATATGCATATCGTGATATATACATTTGCGATATTTCAATAATTTCGATATATTGTGCAGCCCTAATATATATATATTATATGTGTGTGTGTGTGTGTGTGTGTGTGTGTGTGTGTGTGTGTGCATGTGTAAACACATGTGTTTGCAGAAGCAGAGAGGCTCCTCGAGTCGTGCACATAGTGCAGTGACCGACGAGGGTGTCAGTCTGCAGCCCCGAGACAAAATGCACTTGCTGGACGTGTTTTCCAGACCCAACACCACACACACCTTTAGGGTGAATCTCTCCCACATATTTGTATACATAAACACATAAACATCATGACCCTCATCATTTGTTTGTCTTCATAAGTATATTGATCATGGTAAACCTTGCTTTGCAGTCAGACACCCCTTATCGCCGTTCATTTACTGGAATAGACAACATCGGTCAGGGACGCCCTGGCAGAGCATCTGTTGGCATAGGTGGGTGCATACAAACACACATCTTATGCTCCTCAAGATGAACACTGTAGTTCTATAAACTGTCCCATTGACTGTATTTGGGTGTGTGAGCGCAGATTCTCTGGGAATTGGTGTGACTGGAATCAGTTTGGGTATCAGCAGCTCCTCCTTTATAGACTCATTTTCCCATCACCCCCATGGCCACTTCCCCATTGAGCATGAGGAGGAGCCAGATGCAAAAGCTCCGCCCCCAGGTAAGTGGGAATCAGTTGAATCATTTTTTGCCTTAAAAAAAAATAACATACAGTAAAAACGTAATAGTATTTTTGTCAGAATTTAGATTTGTTTCTGATAAACTTGTGTTGTAGGTTTTTGTTCTTTGTAAATGAAATTTGTTTGCAATGTACAGTAAATGTGGCAATAAACAGTTAAATATATACAAGAAAGAAAATACCAGTCAATTTAATATACAATTACTCTACTGTTAAAATGTTTGGGGTTTGTAAGAAGTCTCTTATGCTCCTCAAGGCTGCATTTATTTGAACCAAAATACAGTAAAAACAGTAATATTGTGAAATATTATTACAATTTAAAAGAACTATTTTCTATTATAATGTATTTTAAAATAGTTTATTACGGTGTTGGCAAAGCTGAATTTTCAGCATCATTACTACAGTCTTCAGTGTCAGGTGATCCTTCAGAAATCATTCTATTTCTAATATGCTTATTTGGTGCTCAAGAAACATTTATAATTATTATTCATTTTGAAAACAGTTGCTGCTTAATATTTTGTGGAAAGCGTAAAATATTTTTCAAAAAAATCGTACTGACCCCAAACTTTTGAACAGCAGGTTAATCATAATTCAGCATGCTAATATTAATTCTTTACTGTCAGTTTTATATAAAAACAAAATTAGCACACCAAAGGCTGGAATGAAGTTTGTTTGAGCTGAATTAAATACATAAAAATCTGGAACGGAAAATATAATAGGATATAAAAGCAGCCTAGCAAGCAACGTAATAAGATTTATATGCTTGGGCACCTCAAATTTGCACTTTCTACTTTATATTTATGAATATTACATAATTTTTCACTTTAAGAATAATGATGAAAGAGTGAAATGTAAAAAGGAAGTCATTTAATATTCTGATTTATCAATTTATTATTTATTATCAATGATTAATCATTAAGTACCATGCTCAGACTGTCTGCAGTCTGCGTCTGAGTGCTAAAAGTCTAAACATTTTCTTTATGTAAGATATAACTTACTAAACCTTACACAGATCTCACAGGAAATATTCCTTACATACCTGCATTACATTTGTACTACAAATGCCCTGAGTTTGTATTTAGTAACTCATCTTGGATGTATAATAGATACTGACATGATTGGATGATCTTTATACTGATAATGATCTTATGCTGTTTATGCTTATACTAAATTGATTTTAGGCTATTAATCTTTAGCATAAAATGCAAGTCATTTTTGTAAAAAAGCAACCACTAAGAATATAAAAGTACCTTTAAAAGCCTGAATGTAGTGTTAACTTTTTATCTCTCTCTATCACTACTCCCAGTGTCTGTTCCAGCACGTTCCCACAACAGAGGCGGTACGACGGCACGCAGTAGCAGACCAGGGCTTTAACACAAAAAACATGTACACACACACACGCACGCACGCACGCATACACACAATCTCCCTCACCTTCTTGAACCAAACGCACCTCAGCACTGACGCAACTTTTCTTCAGTACTGACAGATGCTTTATACGTCTGCTGGACTTTTGTATGACACGCCATTTGGGTGTGGACTATATTTATGACCACAGTAGTTATTATCAATAGTATTGTTATTCATGTTGTTGTTTGAAATTTTCTAAAACCCTATTTTTGTATATTGGACTATTCAGCTTCATTTGGCTGCCAAATACAGGAAACTGTCTATCCATTACATCTGTAGATGTACTGTACATGCTGTACTGTATGGAGTAACAACTTTTGGTTTTCCCTAAAGACGGGTCTATGAGGCCTACATGGAGTTTCTATGCAGGTTCATACAAGCTGGGTGTTTAAATGGCCTGAATGTTGCCCACACCCGATTGTTCAAGACTATTGGATTTTGATATACTGTCTATATCCTAGACGGATGTTCCAACGTGATGCAATTCCAACAACTTATCCACAATCATAGAAAATAGGCGTGTAAGAATTCTTATGAAGATTCCAAGGTTATAAGCCTTTTTATCATGTTTCTGTGATCTTGGAATGTTCAATAGCATTCAAACTGAGCAGAGCTTCAGTGTAGAACCTCAATGACCCCGTTTTTCAGAGATACACTGAAATTCTGGAAGTATATCTGCAATACGAGTGCGGGACAGTACAATAGTACAGCCTACATAATGATGGGCGGAAAGAGGATTCAAAGTGTTAAGTTTCTTTTTAAAACATTTTGTTATTGAGAAAGTGAGCCTTAAAGTGGGGTCATATTTGCACAATTTAGGTGAAATTTTGCAGGCATTTTTCAATTGTAAATCCTGTAGCGATGTATGAAACGGCTCACACAGAAATCACTTGCTTTCAAACTAGCTGTTTTCTGCTGGTTTGCATGGTGAATTTGTGTGACCAGCTTGAACATGAGCTAAATCTGCATCGGGAAATTTTCCATCCTCACGTGAAACTCACAATTGTACGGATTTCTATTGCAATGAATAGAATTCACCCGCAAAAAAATGCGCAGAGCAATGGTAAATGTGACAGCATCTTCAGTCCTGTGAGCCATACGGAGCTTGGAAAGCGATGGACAGGACAGTGTGTATTAATTATTATATATAGAAAACAGAAACGCACACAAAGACCGCAGAGGTTTCAGGGTTTGTTCAAACGTGTACTGTAAAAAATCTTTTTTTTGATGGATTTCACAGGATTATTATTTGATTTAGTTTTTTAAATGGCCATTTGGTTTCTTTGGTGCCAGGAAATCCTTAAATATTTAACACTGACTGGTAAAGCACATTTTGACGTACCGTTTTACTGGCAGATATTGAATGTGGCTCTTACAGGTTTGTAATGTTTATGTGGCAGCTTCACTGTAACAGCATTTAATGAAATCGTACTGACTCTAACTGAACATTTGCATTTCTCAGATTTGATTAACGTGTTGATCTCAGTGAGTGAGTATTGCTTTTAATCGACCTTTTTTGTTTATCTGGAGAGTAACCAAGCTCAAAGCATGTATTATGAGTGTACAGGCCATTATAATGTTTGATGATCAGAGAGATGGATTCCTCTACAGCCATACCGAAGGGATGTCACAGAAAGACATCTCTTCATACCCCAGCCTAACGCCTCCGCCTCTAAGACAGATTAAAATATTCTTTGCTCAGCTCGGCAAGGACAATCCAGAGTTGAAGAAGTTGTAGCCATATTTGACTTCTAGAGTTTCTATATTCGACAGAGATTTCTAGAGTTCCAGTAGACATTCTACTGTCTTGAGTTTCATTGCTTCTGATTTGAGTGGGCAGATTTCAAGAGCCATGCCACCTGAATCAACAGACCATGCTGGTCTTTTAAATATGGATGCAATATTGATGTTTCATACGTGGAAATAATGGTTTATCTGCTCTGAATCTGGTGATGACAGTGCTGGATGGGAGTGTGTGTGATTGTGCATGTGGAGGTGACAGCTCCTGGCAGGTGTAGCACTGCTGTATCTAAGATTCCCCTTAAATGTTTACCTCTGTAACATTGAGAATGGCAATTTAAAAAATAAAGGTAATTATTTGAACAATACAGTGTTTTTCTTTTCGTCTTTGACATTGTAACAGTACTACATTCATGTGGCTGTATCTCAGACAGTTACTATACAGTTTTGAGTCCAAATTTCAATTGCACATTTTATCTTGCAGTGGTTTTGTATGTTCGTTTCAAACCTTCATTATATTATACCTTCATCGTTATATTTTACTTTCATTTATTGGTGTAGCTGTGGGGTAAACAAGTGAACAATAAAACCACAATTGCCTATATAAACAACTTTTTTGATAATTAAAAAAATTTTTTTTTTTTTTTTTTTTTTGCTGAATTGTTTTAACAGACCGTAAATTCTGTTGTTTCCACTTATGTCAGTCTCATTCGCAGCAAAGACAAAGGCTGAAGAAGAATTATTAAGTACATACTGACTGATGATCATGCAGTTAAAAAGACTTGTTGCCAACTACAGGCGTAACAATCTTACCTGTAGAAATGGCCACTGAACGAATCTATTTGTGAATCGACTCAAAAGATTCTAATCACTGGATCAAAATCCCAACCACTGTTTTGGGACATCCAGCAGCTCTCCAGTGTTTTTTCCTAATTTGGACAGCAGAGGGAGCCACTGGAGTGCTTTTGATATCTATCGGACTACAGCATCCAAACTAAGTTCTTTGTAAATAGTTTTAAGACTTAATAGGAGCTCACAATGTCTGCCGATTATTTGTATAATCAATATTATTGATTGTGAGACTTTCGTATCGTCACAGACTGGTGAACGCCTTTTTACTACTAACATCTCATTGAATTGCTTTCATGTGTATAACCTCAATTCAGTTATATTAAACAGCCATTGCCCTTGAAGAATGTCAAAGTGCGACACATCCACAGATCATTTTCATGTCTGGTTGGTAATTGTGTTTTTATTAGTGCGCAGAAGCGCAGCACAACAATCACATCACACACAACGAAGCGAACTGCTAACTCGTTTTCCCTGCTGCATGCTTTAGCAGAGCATAATCAACACACTGACTTCACACAGCTCGTTTCGCTCTCTCTCGCGGCTCCCATACTTGGTGTCTTTCTCTGATACTGGTGGCAGATTGAGAGATCTGATACAGCTCTGGTTAGCACTGGTGCTCAAAGCCCTCCGGCTGTTTCTCTTGCATATTTTGGCACGGCCCTCTTTTGTGTAAGAGACGAGAGAGTTTCTGTTATTCAGACACTCAATACTGTATAATTAACAACAGAGACGGCACCACGGACAGCAACAACACAAACATCAATACGGTAACATCATAAAGTAAATTAGTTTTTGCTGGTGTGAGCTTGGTCTCACCTCTCTTTGTATTTGTGTGTCTGTGTTGGCATAATTAATGTGTTTATGTCTTTCAGTGGTCACGTTTGACCTCATCCGCACCAGATCTAGGCCCCCAACAGTTCCCTCTCTGGCCTTACATTGGCTTCCCTGTGGCATATTGTCTCTCCATTGAGTCCTTCTCCACCGAGTGCAAGATTCTGAGATGCTCACTTAACATTCACTCCTGGTTCTCACAGTCTTGCTGTGGTACTTAATTGGAAGCCCCCAGCGTCTCATAAGATAAACGTCAAACACATATAACACCCCTGATTCCAGGTCACCGATCACCGCTGTAGTGACCGCCCGACGTGGGTTTAACTCTTGGAAATACTTACAGAGGACTCTCTCATTGGCTGGACGGGACTCCGGGTCGATACAGCGATCCGTCAAGATGTGTTTGCTGTCAAGTGGGATCTGCCTCCGATAAACGCAATATAGACTCCGTTCTTCAGTCCCCATCCAGGCGAGAGTGACTGAGTTGCAGGTCCGCAACTTGTTGAAAGACTTAATCTGCAGTGTGGCGGGAAACACTGGCACAGCTCTGCGGTGGTAGGCCGATGATGCCTGAATTTTGAGACAGAATTTGGACTTCCCGAAATTGCCTTTAGGGATTGACGATGAGGAACCTGTAGCCAAGGCCTGGAGCTGGATGAGGTATGACGGGGCACCATGCAACCATATCTGGGCCAGCTGGTGTCCCACCTCCTGAGACGTCAAAGTCCGTCCTTTACTAGAGACGGTGACCTTGACTTTACTAGTGCCGTTACAGGTGTGCAAGGTAAGGAGGCCATTTTGTTGCCACCCACGAGGTTTAAATCGGAACTGTTCCCCCTGTAGATTGCTTGCGTCCCCGCTCAGGGTGACCCATTTGACCTGGCCTTCCCGTAAGGACGTGACAGCTGGACGAGCCTCCTCGTGTGTGCGGGTGAAAGTGCCGGTGTATGCTGCACTTGTGCCGTTAACTCTGTCCACTACAAACACATCAAAATAGTACTGTGTATCCGGAAGCAGGTCCGAAACCGTGCACACACTTTCGACATCCCTGCACACACATCCAGGGTCCTCAAACTTGTCAGTTGTCGATGATTCACGATCCTCAAGGGTATCCGGGTGCCGCCACCACCATTCTTTAAGCGTTGCCCACACAATCTCCTTGCTTTGTTTGTCCCTTCTCTGTCTCTTCTGCACACTCTGTATCTCCTTTCGGATTTCCTCACGGGCAGCGCAAAGACTTCGGTAGTTGTGTTTGTGGTTGACTAACACGCAATATTCGTGATGTGGCAGGTGACCATCTTTAACAACTATGGATGAGCTCGGAGCCCAATTTAAGGTGACACTGGTCATGCCCACCCCCAGTGTGTGCACTCTAGGATCTGAAGGCAGCTCCGGGAAAGCCCCCGAAGGACCAGGACCTTCGTGGAGGTATGCCGACACCTGCGTGTCCTGATCGTTTGATTTCAGCCGCAGGATGTAGATGGACGCTGGAGCGTAGGCAGGACCGGTGTAGGTGTCTACAGCATTGCCGGTGTAGGTGTAAATCCTAACCTCTCTTCCAGAACCTCTCCACCACACCTCAGGCATGCTCTTCTTCGAGCCCCCTGAAAAACGAAGCATTTCAGATCAAGATCAAGCATATTCAAAAGCTCTAATCAAAAGAAAGCTAAAAAAAAACATTGGGCCGCAATGCCGCATGCACACATAAGACTGTTTTTCATGCAAACCATCATTACTTTTGTCGGCACATTTTTAGAGAGAACATTTGGTAATCAAAGTGAATAATTTAAAGGTGTAGATGGGGACCCCTGAGTTCACAGTCTAAATGATTTATATGTCACTTTATGACTTTATAATGCTGCTTTGCCTGCCAGACTACCCCTTCATTTCAGTACATGCGCATGATTATGAAAGAAGAGTGCAGAAACGTATCAGGATTATTCTGTTACTGTTAAAACATGATGCAGATGTGTCTTCAAAATATAAATTAAGATAATTGTAAAATGTATTTAGCA